CTCAACACATACAAAATTTCATTAAGTGGACTGAAAATGTCACCCTTGTTCCTTTAACAGCTATTGTGCTTGGCCATGACCTTTGACCTCTATCTCATTCTGGCTCCAGTTTAAAGGAAATATGAAGACAGATCAGCATCAGACACCTTCATGGTAAAAAATGGTCCAAACAAAACTCCCTCAACTCACAAAATATTATTTCAAATATAAAAATGTTGTTACGACCCGTGAGGTCTGTGGGTTGTGCTTGTTGCTGTGGGTGTCTCTGTCTCTTTTCTGCAGGTCTGTACCTGGGCACTGAGCCTGGCGCTGCGTAAATCCCGCAGCTGGAGCTGGTCAGCGGCCATCAGTGGGTTTCAAGCTGAGCCAGTGAAGTGCTCTGACTCTCACTCTTCCTTGGCTGCTCGTGTTAGACTGTATGACTTACTGTGTGGTTTATTGTGTGGTTCGTAGCGGGACGTGATCTTAACTCCTTCTCGCGCTGTATGTCTGGTGACTCTGCGGTGGCAGCCGTCGGCCCGGTGTTCACGACCAACTGAAAGCCGGTGTAGTGAGAGGAGCGGCGATCTCCACATGTGCCTCACCAGCACTTTGGGAGCCGTAGAGACCGTGTATTGTGTTGCATATTTTTCGCTGAATATCTTGTTAATTAATTTACTTTACATAACAAACCCCATATCATCTCTGATAGGATGAAAGATCGCTTTAAGTTGTTAAACACCTTTTTTTGTTACTAATTTGAAATAAATACATTAACTTGACGTGTTTTGGGTCACCCATGGTTTTTTCCACCCGGTTTATTTCTCTTTGTTAGTCCCACGCCCCTAGACAAGCCGGGGATGTGACAGTTGTGTAAAGAACAGCTAAATATCAATTGGAATTATTAAAAAATCATGAATCACGTACATCATCTGACTACATCTACACATAACTATAACTGAATACAAAGCATTTTTTATATGCAACAAAAATTCAACAAATACATTGACATTTAAAGTTCTTTCTTGAACTTGGAATCAGAAATACAATCTCAGCACAAACTCTCTCCACTTAATGTTGTCAGTCTCAGAACTATGTTGGGGAATACAACATTGGCTCTATTGTCTCTGGAGACAGGAGCTAACACAAGAAGAATGTACAAATCCTTATTACTGTGGCAAATAACAGCTACAACTTTATAATGGAGGAAACTGTAGTAAATTTTACATTCAGCAACCGTGTTATTGGACTTTGTGGTCCAGCAACGTCATACTGTACAAAATGAACGTTTGTATCATAGAATGACACAGATATAAACAAGAAACAGCGATCTCTAAATTTCCTTTGGAATCTTCCATACAATATTCGTTCAACTTTTCAAATTCGTTTCATTGCCACATGTGTTACCATAAAAACATTTAAGAATAACTCAATTGATGACAGCAAATCAAGTGTTGAATGAAACATTAGGAACAAACAGAAGAGTAAACAATGAATATCAACCTGTGAAAGGAAAATAAATGTGATATGAAGAAGATAAAAAATTTTAAAGCTGCGGTTGCACATCTGTATAAATGTGTCTCTACAGCACAGCAGACGATTGATAGTTCTGTGTAACCCCTACCTGTTATCTGTTCTCGTAGTGACACAACATTAGATGGCAGAGATGTGCATTAACTCTGTTAGAATAAAAGAAAAGCATTTACTGTCTCTTAAATTGCTATTCAGAGCAATAATAATGGTGCTGAAAAGATGATTTGTACTGGCAGAAGTTGGTTTGTTATGATCATAGTATTTTTACTATACCATATTAAAATATAGTATAACTAACTGGAGTTAGTCAAAGCATTTCCATAGAGAGCCACTTTGCATCAGCAGCACCATGCTCCAGTGCTCTGGGAGAGTTTATAGTCCTGAGAGTTGAACACTGGATGACTGACAGCTGTCCTTCATGACAACAGAAGCCACAGAAATCCTCCTCATCAAAAACATGACTTTGATCTGCGTCCTCATCTGGACTCTCCTCTGCTGCTGCTTCACAGGTAAAGTCCAGAGAATCAAACTCCTCTCCTCTATGAACATCCGTCCCTCTGAAATGAAGCCCACAAAACCATGACGCTGCTTTATGTTTTTGTCTCTGTATCCTCAGAGTCCAGAGGCCAGGTCACAGTGACTCAGCCTGGAGCAGTGAGCTCTGCTCTGGGAGGCTCCGTCTCCATCAGATGTAGGACCAGTCAGAATGTATATGTTTCGAGCAACTACCACATTTAGCCTGGTACCAACAGAGAGATGGAGAAACTCCTAAACTCCTCATTTACTTGCTAGCACTCGAGCATCAGGGATTCCAGGTCGTTTTACAGGCAGTGGATCAAACTCTGACTTCACTCTGACCATCAGTGGAGTCCAGACTGAAGATGCAGCAGTTTACTACTGTCAGAGTGTTCATGTTATCAACAGTCAGGGTGTGTTCACACAGTGAAAAAGCGTCGTACCAAAACCTCCCTCAGTCAGACTGAACAGAAACTGAACTGAGTGCTGCAGCTGGAAGCTACTGCAGAGACTGATACACTTCACTGAGGACACACACACACACACACACACACACACACACACACACACACACACACACACAACACACATACAGCCCCCTCAGTAACCCATCTGTTACCCAAAGCTGTCAATTTGGGGGAAACTGCTGTCATCCTCTTGTACTATAGATGCTGCTTAAAGTTAATAATGTTGGATTATTATTTCTTATTTCATCATTCAGTTTTTAAAAAGAAAGTATTACATTTTAAAAGTTCAATAGATTAATATTTCCTAAGTCAATGAGTAATCATGTTAAATAATTGTGATCTCAACATTGACCAAAATAATTAGCAGCCCTACATGAACATTTCATTTAATTCATGAAATTATAGAACATTTGTTGTGTGAAAGTGCTCCTCTGCCTTCTTTCTGTACAGGCTAATGTTTTATTCAACACATTTTCTTATTTTTAACTTGGAAAAGAAACTTATGAAAAGAGCGCATTATGACTTGTTTAGGACTCGAAACTCAAAGTTTAGGACTTGGGACTTGACTTGAGACTTGACTCAGATGTGCCCAACATGATAGGTCTGGACTGGGGACTCGACTTGGGACTTTCTTGTAACTTGTAAAACAATGACTTGGTCCCGCCTCTGCTGTGTTCACCATGTTTGGTGTGTTATCACATATGCTAATTAGCATTGAGCACAGAGTAAAGGTGAGGCTGATGTGAATGTTATAAGCTCTGCAGAGATTTATTCATAAATCAAAGTACTGGACAAACTGAAATGATGATGCAGGGATGAAAAGTGAGAGGATCACCAAATTATTACAATTTACCTGGAGGGGGACCTGAATATGTGAATCACATTTCATGGTCCATCCATCAAATGGGTGTTGAATATGAACGTCATGGTGGTGCCAGAGGAAAGGTCAGGGAGCTCCACTGTAATTAGGATTTATTGTATAGGAACCATGACTGTCTTTACAAATTTTATACCAATCTGTCAGTTATATGTTGAGATACAGTGTTTCACAGAATAAGCAAAAAGTTTATCCTGCCGGTGGCGTAAGAGAAAAAGTCAGCAACCAAAGTCAGTCAGATTTTTCCTCTGGGCACCACAAATGTCTGTGCAAAATTTCTCTGCAATCCATTTTGTAGTTGTTGAGATACTTCAATCTGGACCAGAGCACAGTTCTTATCAGACTTATGTCTGTCCTGGCTCAGTGTCTGGTGCCCTTTCCGCTCTGAATAAATCACTCTCAACACACAGACATGTTAGGAAAAAGCCTGTTTAAGTAACTTGGGCACTTGTATTATATAACATATCCACAAGATGACAGCACTGGATTACAACTGCACCAACAACACTACACATGGGAATATGACAAACAAATAACCGATGTTGTATTTCTATCTGTGATGAGTGTGTTTTGGTAGATAGTGTGTGTCATACAGTGTTAGAAATTTAGGACACACACACACACACACACACACACACATACACACACACACAAAGGTTGAAGATTTCCCAACTTTTGCTTTAACTACCAATGAACATGTAGCAAAATAAGCTCAATTGTAAAAAATATGAAATCAAATTACTTTGTCCATCACAGCTTCTCACGATCCATTCATGTCTTTTTATGATCCCACTGTCTTTTCTGATTTGCCAAATAATCCAGAGTAGCCAGCCTGGGAAAGCAGATAAGAAAAGTCTTGGTCACGACCTTTGACCTCAGCCTCATACGGGATTAAAGCAATTTCAACAATATACATTTAATTGGAAATATGAAGAAACAGATCGGCATCAGAAACATTCAGGATCAGAGACTGCCCAAACAAAACCAGTACATCCCTGAATGCACAAAATAGTATTTTAAATATATACACATATGTCCTCTATAGAAAAGCTAAATATCAACTAAATCATAAAAATACAAAAGAAATAAATAACCTCCTTGATATATAACTATATCCCATACATAAACAATATGGAATAACACATTTTCTCTAACATGCAAATCAAAACTCCACAAATACACTGTGACTAAATGTTTATTCTTAACCTTGGAAACAGCAAACAAACCCACAACATCCATCCACTAACTGTTGTGGAGCTTTCAATCACATCACATGATCTTTCTTAGCAGATGGAGTCACCCAGTTTTCATTGAAATGCAGATTTTCAAATTCCTATTCCTCTCTGCATTTTTAGGACTTCATGTCCACGTTGGCTTCAAAGTTAAAATATTCCATGACAGCTGGGTGAACTCCATCTGCTGAGGAAGATCATGTCATAAAAATAGTAATGTAACTGATGATGACTTCCATGTTTTCTGGTTGGAGTTTCTCGAGGAAGCTCTCTGAGATCGTCAGACTCAGCATCCCCTCAAACACCCAACACTACTTTACTTAAAGAAATTTCCATATTACAGACACCTAAAGATGTCAAACCTACTTTGATATTAATGTCACTAATTGTAAATGTCTGATAAATCGCATTAATATTCTCCTACATAGTATTATATTTATATATTTAATAAGACATTGTAGTTCTACAGTGTCACCTTGCCTGTTCTGCTTTTATTTTGAAAGGTGTCGTTTTCTTCTTATGTTTTTTGTGACGCTAAACTTCCTGCTATTTTTCTCTTCACAATGTGGTGCTCACGCGTCGTCGGAAGAACGGTAAAAAACTGGTAAACACGTTATTTATCATGTTCATCTATTTGAATCTTGTAAAGAAGGAGTTTACATTGTGATTTTATTATTTTCGTATTGTTTGTACATGTTATTTCTAAGACCTACGAACTGTGAGCGTGTGTCGAGCTAGAGAGCGTGATAGCTGATGGCGAAAACCATTTGATTAGCGTCCTTGGAGAGCGGAATGAGGTATGAAAGAAAATGTGTCTAGTGTATTATTATCAGAAGGGATTTTGTTTAAGGAAAGGAGAATGTCATTACTTCATTTGTTTATGGGTTAATTGCACATGTCGTCAATATAAAAGCAATATTATTTCTGTGAACAATTATAATATTGTATTTCATTTAAAGGCATGTGATATTTATTTGTCATAAAGGCTTAAAAATATTTCATTTCATATTGGTTGTTAGTCAAATGATTTGTATTGTGTGTAAACATGATTAATATGTGAACACAATTTATGTGCAAATTATTTGTGAAGCTACATAGAACCCTTTTGTGTTTCTTCTGTTTTATTCTGTAGTTTTCACGGTGTTCATGGTGCATGGTGCACGTTGAGAGGAATAATAAATCGACACCCGTTTGAAACTCTCTGCGTCTTGATCAATAAATCCAAGGGGCCGCTACAGTGAAAACTCATCGCTGCACCAGCCCTGTCATCCCTGGTGAGAAGCTGACGCCATCACATCTGAGGTCCAACTACCAACCTGATACCAGCCAGTTTACATCGCTTCCATCCAACTCCTGCACCCAGGCAAGACTTGAAATGGACAGCATGCTTAAGGTACAACTAGAGATGCAAAAAGAGACACTGGATGCCAAGGAGCAAAAAGGCTAAAAAATGGACAATTTCTTCACACGCAAACTTACAGCATAACTGAAGTGACTTAAATAATAACGTGGTATTATAAGGTCAAAATAACTTGTGAGCTAATTCTCAGTTCCTAACACTTCCAAAAATTGTGACTATTTCAAGACCAATGTGCTTGTGTCATGTCTATTTATGAAAAGGTTGAAGGGTGAATTTTGTTGTTACTGCAGTTTTACGCTAAAATCCTTTTAGATGTCCATAATCTGCTAACGCTTGGCATAAAAATTACTCTGTAGTAAAAGATAACTACAGCTTACAAGTGCAAATTCAGGCGTAGGACAATCAAAGGCTACACTCGACTTAAAGCAGCAGCACAAACAAACAAGATGTCACGTAAAGACACACCATGCAGGTCCAGCTCACGTGAAAGAAAGCTAACAGAGAAAGGCCAAGAGATGCATGACCAAGACACCAGAAAACGTGAGAAAGCATTTAACAAGACCTATGACTCTTGGAAGCTGGTAGCTAGGGAGACTAGGAAAAAATTAAAAACCCTCTGTTCATCAGAAGACCTTAATGAATTACAGCAAGACATTCAAGCAAAGCATGATGACGTAGGCCAGCAGTATGAACCTATCCTACGTAACGGTAACACCACACCAGAGATTGTAAAGAAAATGGATGCCTGTGTTACGCTAACAAAAGACATTTGTGACCTCATAAGTAACCGTCTAGAGACCATTAATCAAGATTGTAATGACCAACTTGAGAAGGAAAGGGTAAGAGAAACATTAAACAAAGATGAATATGGGTCTGTCTTTGGCCACACTAAAACTGAAACGGTAAGCTCAGCGGAGTCATCGGAGAGATTGAGCAACCATTCCAGCTCAGCCAGTACCCACAGCAGTAGAGTAGATGCACAAGCAGAGCTTGCGGCTAAGCTGGAACAATCAAAAGCCATGAAAGAAATCCAAACACAGCAAGCACATCTTCACAAGTTAGAGAATGAATGGAAACTTAAAGAGGCAAAAATGTTAGTAGAAATGAAGCAAAAGGAGGTGGAAATGCAACAACAGTTGGAACAAGAGAGAGCCAAATTGCAGCAGTTACAAGCAGCAAAAGACGTTGCCATAGCAGCAGCTCGTGTGAGAGCATATGATGATTTTGAAGGTTTTGAGAACCATGATGAGGAGATTGACAAAACTAACTCTGCTTGCTACAGAACGGAAACTGAACCTCGATTAAATCCTGATGCTGCATCCTTCCAACCTCACCAAGCTGCTCATGAAGTGACAATGACCCAGGAGTCTGTCAGTCTAGCCCAAGCAATCGCCAGCTCATTAAGCATGAATCGCTTGCCGGTCCCCGAACCAACCACGTTCAGTGGTGACCCTTTACAGTTTACAGATTGGAAGATGTCATTCATAGCTCTTATTGACAGAAAACCTCTCCCACCAAGTGAGAAGATGTTCTACCTCAAAAATTATCTTGCTGGAGAGGCGCGCAAAGCTGTAGAAGGTTTCTTTTATCGAGATTCAGAGAGCGCATACAGTGGAGCATGGAAAGTCTTACATGACAGATATGGGAACCCGTTCATCATTCAAAAGGCTTTCCGAGATAAGCTCATGAGATGGCCAAAAATCAACACTAACGACCCATTAGCTCTACAAGGGTTCGCTGACTTCCTCCAAGGCTGCACTGAGGCGATCCCACACGTCAAAGGATTAGCTATCCTTAATGATTGTGAGGAAAACCACAAGTTGCTCAAAAAACTACCAGAATGGATAGTGCGCAAGTGGAGTCGAATTGATGTTGAGGAACTTGACACATGCGGAAGCTATCCAGACCTTGCATCCTTCACAAAGTTCCTGAGCAAAGAGGCACGGATAGCCTGTAACCCTATTGCTTCTCCATTGTTGATGAATTTCAAGGCCATAGATGAAAGATCACTAAAGAGAGCCAAAGCTTTCAATATAAAAGCACAAACGAAGAGTTTCGCTCAGGAGAAACAAGAAACAAACGGCAGTAAACCAAAATCACCTTGCCGTCTGTAAAAGTGAAGCTCATAACATCACAAAGTGTCCCACCTTCGCAGCAAAGAGTGCTGAAGATAAAAGGGCATTCATCTGTGAAAATCGGCTGTGCTTTGGGTGCCTGAGGAAGGGTCACATGACCAAAGATTGTAAGAGGCGACACACATGCAACATATGCAGCCGTCGTCACCCAACCTGCTTGCACGATGACAGGAAACAAAGACCTGTGGAAGCAACAACGAATACCTCCACTTCCACAGAAAACCATGCAAGCTTGGAAATGCACAAGGTCATGTCCCATACATCAACACAACGTGCTGCCGCTACCTCAAGTATTGTCCCAGTCCTTGTGTCTTCAATACAAGAGCCACACAGAGAAGTACTTACATATGCAATACTGGACACACAGAGTGACTCCACGTTTGTCTTAGAAGATGTACTTGACAAACTGAACGTGGATGCCCAGCCAGTAAAACTGAAACTGAGTACTATGACGGCTATTGACACAATCATATCCAGCAAGAACGTCCATGGTCTACAAGTTCGAGGACTGCACTCCAAGAACCACATCCAAGTACAGCAGGCCTACAGCCGTGACTTTATCCCGGTGGACAAGTCTTACATCCCAACGAAGGAAACCGCATTACTGTGGCCTCATCTCAGACATTTGGCAGATAAGTTACCACCCCTTCAAGAATGTGATGTAGGGCTCCTGATTGGATATGATTGTCCATCAGCACTGGCTCCTCTTGAGGTCATCATTGGGGAGGAAAATCAACCGTTTGCACAGAGATCAAAACTAGGATGGAGTATCATAGGCTCATCAAACCCTCACCTAGACAGACAAGGAAGTCAGAGCTTTGTGCATCGGCTCACAGTAAAAGAACTGCCAATTCCATCGGCGACAGATGTTCTAAAAGCCCTAGAATCAGACTTCACAGAGAGAGCTTATGAAGATAAATATGTGTCCCAGAACGATGTTCATTTCATACAGTTCCTCAGTGACAACATCACACAGAAGAAAGATGGGCATTATGAGATGCCCCTCCCTTTCAAGGGAAACAGTCCACCCAACCTACCAAACAACAAGAGACTAGCCACAGTTCGCCTGCAGTTCCTTAAGAAGAAATTAAAGACCAACAAACAATATTACAATCAATACAAAACATTCATGGAAGAAACAATTAACAAGGGTGATGCAGAGCCTGCCCCTACAACATCTGCTGGAGAGACTGAGTGGTACCTTCCGCATCACGGCATCTATCACCCCAGAAAACCAGACAAGCTGAGGGTTGTATTTGACTGTTCAGCCAAATTCCATGGGGTTTCTCTAAATGACACTCTTTTAACTGGACCTGATCTTATCAATCCTCTGGTAGGAGTTCTTTGCCGCTTCAGGAAGGAGGGTGCGATTATCTGTGATATCGAAAGAATGTTTTATCAGTTCTCGGTTACTCCTGAATCCCGGAATTATCTGAAATTCCTCTGGTGGAAAGGTGGAGATTTGGAGAAGGAACCACAGGAATTCAGGATGGCAGTTCATCTCTTCGGAGCCGCCTCATCCCCAGGATGCGCCAATTTTGGCTTGAAACATCTGGCACGGCAACACAAAGCTACCTATCCATTGGCATCAACATTTGTAGAGAAGAACTTTTATGTTGATGACGGGTTAGTCAGCGTCCCATCGGTCGAGGAAGCCAAGAAACTGATCACTGAGTCACAGGAGTTGTGCAAAAGAGGAGGCCTACGCCTCCATAAATTCAACTCAAATGAGGAAGCAGCCCTCGCCTCCTTAGATCCCTCAGAAAGAGCAGCAACCATCGAACCTCTGGGACTCGATCCAACCCTATCAGAGCGTGCACTCGGCATTCAATGGTCGATTAAAACGGACACTTTCAGCTTTAGCAGCAGCTTAAAAGATCAGCCTTCAACCCGGCGTGGTTGCCTTTCTGTCATTGCCTCTCTTTATGACCCACTTGGATTCATCGCTCCATTCAGTCTAACTGGAAAGCGTATACTTCAAGAGCTGTGTCACAGAGGCATCGGATGGGATGATCCACTCCCAGAAGATCTGAGGCCACGGTGGGAGGAGTGGATAAATGGGCTTCACAGGTTGAAAGAGGTTTCAATTCCGAGATGTTACCACCCATATGACTTCCACAACATTGTCAGAGTAGAGCTGCACCATTTTTCGGATGCCAGCTGCGTGGGATACGGTGCATGTTCTTACCTCAGGTATAAAAATGACAAGGATGAAGTCCATTGCAGTCTCGTGTTGGCGAAAGCAAGAGTTGCACCCTCAAAGGTCACAAGTATCCCGAGGCTAGAACTCGCGGCAGCGTGGTTTCTACAAAAGTCAGTGTCATGTTAAAAGGTGAACTTGACATAAAGATTGATGAAGAGGTTTTCTGGACAGATTCACAAGTAGTGCTTGGGTACATTAACAATGATGCCCGCAGGTTCCACATATATGTTGCGAACCGTGTTCAGCTGATAAGGGATAACAGTGATCCCAGTCAGTGGCACTATGTAGACACCGCAGAAAACCCGGCAGATCATGCTTCCCGAGGTCTTCGTGCTTCAGACATTCATTCAACAAACTGGCTGCGAGGACCGAAGTTTCTCTGGGAGCGTGAATTACTTCTAACACCCAGCGCTCCATCAGAATTACTCGTGGGTGACCCAGAAGTCAAGACAATTCAGGTGCTTGCAACAGAAGTCAAAAACTACAATGACATCCTCAG